GTTTTCAAATCGGTACGAACGCGTCTTGCACCAATCGGTGATTGCTGTAAGTGCTTTTGTTGTTGCTGTTGCTGTTGCTGTGTGTCTTGTTGGTTCGATGCCATTGTCGTTTTGATTTGCAACAACAACAACAGCGACACAATCTAGAATGTTGCAACAGCATTTGTATATTAACCAAAGGCACTGATTTTGATTTGATCTATTTACGTATAAACGTTTTATTGTTTTTTTGTTTCTAATTTTGCATCGGTTAAGTGCTTAGTAACAGTTAAATATTTCAGAAAATTTCGATGTTCCTCGAGTTGTGTAAAAAACGTGTCACCATGGCAAAGTAGAAAATGTCAGACTGACGTTTGCGTGCATAATCCTTCTTCATGCATTGGTATTGTTTTTTTTTTTTTTGTTATTTACATAGTATGACACAATCCGCACATGCGCATTGTAACAACTTCCCAGTAAGAAATATTTAGCGATAAAGAAAACTGGATCTACATAGTCCATCGTGAACGAAACGAGACACACATTGTATACTTATATATAGCATTTTTGAGAAACGAATTAATTAAGTTTCGAATTCTAAGTGAAATACTGATTGCATGCAAATGATTTTTAAACTAATAGCCTGCAAGCTAAAAATCTATTAACTTTCTTACAGGGCCGTCATTAACTATATGAAAAATTATATATAGTTCTGTCACTCTTATTTCCAAGAGAAAGGGGGTTGGGTTTTTGTTATTAATATTAACGTACATGCATACCGTCCTATATTTATCATGTGATAACAATTCATTTGAAAGCAAAAATAAAATGTTATTGTTATTGGAATAATTACATTTTAATAAACTTATGTATATTTTTTAATAACGCAGCCATTTTCGTTTGAGAAGTTGAAAAGGGGAAGCAATTTTTTTTTACCATGCCACCTAAAATAAAGTCTCTTTCAATTCATGATGTCATTTGGTTTCCTTGACTCTTTTTCAGGATAATAATGATGTATGTATATCTGGCATAACTACTCGATTCCAACAACTGAAATAGTCAACTAAAGACGTTGGGCCTCATGCATAAAAAGTGAGCTTAAGCTCCGACTCGATTTTCAGTACAAATTCTTGAGCTTGAGCTCACCCCTCAGTGCAAAAATTGGGTCTGAGTTTAAGCTCACTTTTTATGCATAAGGCCCGTTGTCAGATAAGAATAGGTGACTTTATTTTTAAATGCTGAGCTCAAACAAAAAATAAAAGCTCCCGAATTTAAATACCATTGCTTATGTTGCCTTTGGGCGTCTGCGACTTCTCAGAATTGACGAGTCAAAAGCTTTTAAAAATTGGAGAAAATTATTTAGCAAATTATTTTATTTCACACTTTCAAGATTTTCCGGTTTTGATCGCAACGTTAGTTTCAATAGAATTGAAGTGGTTTATTTACATATGAGTATTTACAAATAGGTCTATAGGGTTTTTATTTATTTTTCGCGGTAGACTTTTCGCTGAAATCACCCTTATATACGTAAATAAATAATTAACAATTCCAATAGATTTAATTGGCAATAAGTCTTTCATTCAATATTTATCTAATAACATAAAGTTTCTACTGCGCAAACACAAATTTGAGATTATACACATACGTATATAACTTATTATTGTTACAAATTTCTAGACAACAGCACTTTATGATTGCCAAATGTAAAAATGTACAAATCGTGTGATCCCTGCTGAAATCTCAGAAATTGTTTATGACTTTTGCTAACATTTTAAAATGAAAACTTACCAAAACATGTTATGTTTCCAAAAGGCTGTCAAATTGAGAAATTTAAGAAAGCAAGTGTCACACCTTGCATGTAAATTGTCTTTCGAAAGAGGGCTTCTATTTCCGAAAAGCGAATTGCTGGGACAATCTGTGAAAACTATTTTTGGCTTTTCACACCGTGGTTGAATTTCTTGCAATCTTTCTCGATACTAAAATGGAACCGTGGGCCCCCTTGCCGTCGGTTTGTTATTTCTCCTTTTTATACCCGAGCTCACTTGTGCACAAGGGTGTTATAACTTTTTTTCACATAACGGTTGTTTGTAACAGTCTTAAGGGATATAGGTAGATATATCTCTGTGTGCCAAATACGGTATGACGCAAAAAGGCCAAAAAGCTCTTCTGAGTAGCTTTTCAATAGAACTTTTGAAAAGAAACAAAAGTTCTGGATATTTTAACAAATAAAAATTGCTTCAAAAATTGTGTATGCCAGATTCACGCAGCATACGACCTGTGACAAAAACGCAAATATAAATTGTTCTGAGGAGCTTTTAAATAGTTTTAGAGTTCCTGAAAAAGAAAAAAAAGTTCTGCAAAATTGCGCAGAAAAAAATGGTTCAAAAAAGTAGAACAAGTTAAATTTAAAAAAATATATAAAAATTAAATCTGGTTTGAGTAGCTATTCAATAGTTCTAGAGCTCCTGAAAAAGTTCTGCAAAATTACGCCGAAAAAACACTTTTTTTTCGAAAAAGTCGAAAGAGTTAAATTAAAAAAAAAAAATAATAATAAAACTTAAATCTGTTTTGAGTAGCTATTCAATAGTTCTAGAGCTCCTGAGAAGGAAAAAAAGTTCTGCAAAATTACGCCGAAAAGGCACTTTTTTCGAAAAAGTCGAATAAGTTCAATTTTTGAAAAAAATAAAAAAATTAATTAAAACTGTGCTGAGTAGCTTCAATAGTTCTAGAGTTCCTGAAAAGGAAAATAAAGTTCTGCAAAATTACGCCGAGAATCCTATTTTTCAAAAGTCGAAAGAGTTTATTTTTTGAGAAAAATAAAAATTTAATCTGTCTTGAGTATCTTTTGAAAAGTTCTAGAGGTCCTGAGAAGGAAAATGAAAGCTCTGCAAAATTACACCAAAAAAATATTTGTTTTAAGTCGTAGAAGTTAAATGTTTTAAAGAAATAAAATTAAAACTGTTCTCAGTAGCTCTGCAATAGTTTTAGAGCACCTGAGAAGGAAAATGAAAGTTACGCAAAATTACGACAAAAAAATATTAAAAAAGCCGAAAAAGTTGAAAAAAAAATTAAAACTTTTCTGAGTAGCTGTTCCATAGTTCTGGAGTTCCTAAAAAGTAAAATAAAGTTCTGCAAAAAAAAATGTTACCTTAATATTTATTTTAATATTGTTGTTTAGGAAAAATGGAAAAAAGCAACAAAGTCTTAGCGGTAGAAGTTATAGCTGCTATTTCGGAGATCACGACATCTCCTCATTAGACTTCTTTTTCTAGACTTCAGCAGTAATCGAACCCGCATCATCGATGTGCAAAGTCAGAAGCGCTAAACCCTAAGCTAGCACATCCTGTAAACTCTTCCCAGTAGAAAAATATAATGTATTGTAATCGAACAAATAATCGGTAAGACAGCCGTTTTCACATTCGAAAATGCATTATTTTTCCCACGCCGATGTCCTAAGAAAAGTGCAGCATTCAGTTTTTCATTACCAGTAATTTGGATACATTCGAATGCTGATTACATATTAAACAGTAATAGAATCTAGAACTCATAAGACATACATTACATTATTTGTCACTAATGTGACCAACTATTTAATAGCTCAAAGAAGTACAGGTTAGGTTGGGTTAAGTTAACACCGCGCACCGATTACGGAATAGCGAATGCGGCAAATTTTGATCCCTGAGAGCTCAGTGTTTGTTCAGAACTGCGAGCCAAAATGCTTTCATCTTAGCCTCGCGAACGATCGACAGTCTAAAAGAAAGTATGGAGATGACTGATAAAGGGCTCCCTGAACTAATTTGGGCGAGAGACCTCACCTTTTACCGGTAGATCCCCTACAGCAGTACAAGGCAACCGACACCTTTCTTACCCTTTCCTTAGTGTTAGGCTACCACGACAGCCGCCGTTGATCGCCCACCTATTTATTTGGTTCAGGTAACCTTGAGTCACATCAAAGATTATGTCTAGAAATCGTCACTTAACCAAATATTCCACATCATCTAAATAGGCAATCAACCGAAAGCCCACTTGTTCCAGTTTCTCTCGAAGGTCGTTTACAACCGCAATTCAGAGCAGGGGACAGAGAACACCACCTTTGGGGTGCTCCTAATGACTCTGCACTGAGTGCAGGCGCTCCCCCACTTCGCCGCGACAGTTCTGTCACGAAATAATCTGTAGATAATCCTTATTAGGTTGGTTTCAACTCCCAGATTATGAATACACTTGACTATTTCTTCTGGAGTGACATTGTTGAAGGCCCCCTTGTTACTGATAAAAGGCCCCTACTGCATAATCTTTATGCGTGAAGGGTTCCTCTGACCACTTTAACAATGTGTGCAGGGCGGTATTCACCGATGATCGGATAAGTACAAGACCTGGGGAGTCCTGACATTACACACAATCACCCTGTTTCCTGTGGTAATAAAAGGTGACTAAATGCTCAAAATGTATTCCGGAGTTGGGCCGGGCTTATAACAAGGTTTTGCATATATTTTCCAAGAATACCGCAAGATTACCAACATGCATACTTACAACGTCTTTTACCCGAGTCGTTCCTAGGGAACAAACTTAGTATCACGACTTTAAATAGGGCAAGTTTTGAATTTTAGAACCTGCGTTCATTATTTTTTTAAAGGGTGGAAGAAGCCAAAAAAATTCACGTTCTATGGATGCCACTACCCAATTCCTATATAAAATTGGTCGGTGATTCCGAAAATCGAGCTAATTTCTTTTTCTATGGATACGTTTTCGAGATATTTTCAATTTACCGTTTTTCAGCTTAAAGCCAAAATTGGTTCCTTTTAATCACGTTTTTATTTAAAATGTCAAGTCCTAGAACTAAAGCGGTATATCGTCCACGCTTGGGAGGAAATGAAAACTGTTTACTCAAAACTTTACGGGCTTTCGAAAAAATACTGTCATTTAGTTGGTACATCGGTGCCTGCTGAGCGCCTTTTTTTCAAAAGCTGGTGATACAGCCACCGAGAAACGCATCCGCTCAACAACAAAACGCTTATCAGACTTTTGTTTTTGAAAACTTGGACAAATAATCAATTATCATCGCCGCTAAATGTACTGGTTTTATTTTATTTAAGGCTAATTAACGAGAGAATTGAAAATTTATGGA